ATTCACACAAGTTCGAGGCAATTACTGAGTAGCCTATATAAGCATAAAACGAAATGTAAAGACGCTGTCGAACTCCAATCAGCTACAGATACTGCAGCTTTTATGCAGTGAAGTGATGCAATTAAAGGCTAATATTGCATCATCTCAGTATACATGACATTTTCTATTGGTCACCAGTATCAATTGCGCAATATGCAGCTGAAGTTGCATCAAAATTTTGAATGGCTTACGTCATTAGATGGGTGAATATATCATGGAAACTAGAGCCAAAAACATTTTTTAGGGTCATTTTCGTTTTCAGCACCCAAAATTATGTAAGATTAGCTAATTTTATGCCCAAAACTTTTTACCTGTTGAAACAGTGTATACTTCTCTTATTTCTTCACTTTTGGTCTTTTAAATATATCTTAGAATGGTTTTATTTGATCAATACAAAAAATAGGACCTGATGATCCTAAAAGAAATTCAGGGTTGTCCTACCCAGGTCACGTCTGTAGACTCAAAACCATCTTTACCAACAATACGGACTTTGATCATAGAACACTGTAAATCATGGAACTATGGTTCACATTTTGTCTGCCCTTCGGGGGGGGGGGGGGGGGGGTGCAGCAAGATCACCCTCACTTTACAGTTTGGTCTCATTCAGACCTTGCCTCTATATGTGCGAATTGGGTAAATAATACAAAGTGATATATAAGAAAGAATATATAAAAAATAAAAAATATATTAAAATAAAAAAAATATTATACAAAAAAAGTGTCCATAAATAATGCCCAAAAAGATTTTTTAATTAATGTCCGCACTGTGTTGGAACCACCACCAAAAAAAATGTTTTTAAATCACCAAACGAGCTCAAAAAATAAACAAATACCTTTTTGCTCTGGGCAATATATAACAAATCAATTCTTGGATACAATACTGTGTAAATCAACGAACAAATTTTCCTCCAATGAAAAATATTAATGTGTGAATCAACGAACGAATTTTCCTCAGATGAAAAAACCACCATTCAAGGATATAGCAAGGATATATCGCAATCCGATTCTTAGATGCGAGAAACGAACAAATTTTCCTCAGATGAAACTCCACCATTCAAGGGTGTAGGTAATTTCCGGGAATATATCTCACGACTCTTTCGTATAATTCCATACCATAGGGACCATGTTTAAAGGTAAGAAAAAAGAATCATGGTGCAGCAAGTTTTAAAATTATAAAAAACTTTTTAATGAACGAATAAAACTCACAAGTCAGGTGTCTCCACCGACACCAGTTTTACAAGCATGTGTTTAGGCAATCGTGCACGAACGTATCTTCGTTTGCTCTGGATATCCTCCTCTCACATCCAAAGAATGTCTCAGACGTCAGCATCCAGCCACGCGTTTCGTCACCAACGACGTCCTCACGGGACGCCCCGAGGATGTCGTTGGTGACGAAACGCGTAGGGCGTGGCCTGCTGGATGCTGACGTCTGAGACATTCTTTGGATGTGAGAGGAGGATATCCAGAGCAAAACGAAGATACGTTCGTGCACGATTGCCTAAACACATGCTTGTAAAACACCTTGCCTCTATATGTGCAGAGACTGCCCATCTACCTACTTTGGCCCATCCAGACCTCTTCTCTAATTAGGCATATAACACTCATCATGATGACTTTATGGGTTGGTCTTATCCAGAACTCACCTCTAAATATGCACAGACTTCCAGTCACACCCACTTTAAAGGTTTGTCCCATCCAGACCTGTCGCCTAGTTATGAGCAAAGACCACCCATCATGCTGGCTTTACAGGTTGGTCCCATCCAGACCTCACCTCTAATTATGAACAAAGACCACCCATCATGCTGGCTTTATGGGTTGGTCCATTCCAAACCTCACCTCTAAATAGGCAGGAACTGCCCATCATGCCCAATTCACTTTATTTTGTTGGTCCTATCCAGATCGTGACTGTAAATAAGCAGAGACCACCCATCATACCCACTTTACTGGTTAGTCCTTTCCAGACCTCAACTCTAAACATGCAAGGGCCACCTATTATTCTGACTTTATGGGTTAGTCTCATCCAGGCCCTGCCTCTAAATATGTGGAGACTGCTCTTTATGCCCACTTTATGAATTGGTCCCATCCAGGACTCATCTCTACGTACTGTATGCAAGAGGCCGTCCATACTTTTACAGGTTAGTTCAGCCCAGATTCTGCCAGTAAATATGCTGGGACTGCCCTTATTGCCTACTTTACAGGTTGGTCCCATCCAGATGACCCTGACTCTAAATATACAGGGACCACCAACTTGTGTCCCCAACCCTCACAATTAAAGTGATCTTAAACCTTTTTTTTTTTTATAAAATAACAATCATGTTATACTTACCTGCTCTGTGCAATGCTTTTGTGCAGAGCAGCCCCGATCCTCCTCTTCTGGGGTCCCCACACGATGCTCCAGGCCCCTCCTCTTTGGCTGATACCCCCATGGAAAGCCGCTTTCCATGAGGGCACCTGCTCAGGATCACTCTTGAGCCACCCTGTTTGAGTCCAGTGACACAGAACGGGTGGCCCGGCCTCGCCTCCCACGTCTTAGAATTTGATTTACAGCATTGGGAGCTCATGGCTCCCATTGCTATCAATTTGCCCAATGAGGATGGAGACAGGGGTGACAGCCACTGCCACTCATGCCCATCGCTGGATCGGATCAGGCTTAGCTAAAAAAAAGGGGGGGGGGGGCTTGATGAAAAGAATGAAAGGTGAAAAACCTTAAGGCTTTAGAACCACTTTAATACCTTTTTACGTTACTGCACATGTGCAGTAACTCTACTAAAAGTTGATGTCCCAGGACATATTTTGGGACACAGAAATGGTGGGATAACGGCTCAAGACTGTCCCAGTAAATCTAGCACAGTTGGCAACTATGCAGAACTCTTTGCCCCATATTATGGAGAAACGGGGAAGTGGGAAGGTGTTCTGTAGTCCTAACACACCTTCTATCCATGGGTGACAAAGCTTTTCCTCCATGGATATAGTACGATGAGTGAAAGTTGTCACCCCAGGACAGAAAGTATGTTACTGGCTGGATCACAAGATGAAAATAAAGGAAAAAAAATGCTAAATGCAGCCACCACATCTAAGGACCAGTAAGATGGAATGTATTACTTTTTTGTAAGGTTTAGATATACTTCAATTGACCGATCCACCATTTTGGCTGAATTTCAAAATGGTTTACAGCAGATAGGTACATACTCCTTTGAAGGAACCTACCTCCAATGCATTTTACTGACAAGCATGAGTTGCATTGCGGTGCCCTGACAGAGAGGTACATGTGCCTTTTTTGGGGGTGTACTCCAATGCATCTCGTGAATGGATGTGAGTTACGCTGTGGCTCCCTGACAACAAGTTACATGCATTTTTTTCTTGGGGGTCATGCCCCAATTCACCTTGTCAATGGATATGAGTTGTGGTGCAGCACCCTGCCAAACAAGTGCATGTACTTTTTTGGGGGGCATACCCCATTGCACCTTGCTGATGGATGTGAGATGTAGTGTGGTGCCCTGACAGAAAGGTACATGTGCCTTTTTTGGGGGTATACTCCAATGCATCTCGTGAATGGATGTGAGTTACGTTGCAGCTCCCTGCCAACAAGTTACATGCATTTTTTTTCTTGGGGGTCATGCCCCCAATTCACCTTGTCAATGGATATGAGTTGTGGTGCAGCACCCTGCCAAACAAGTGCATGCACTTTTTTTGGGGGCATACCCTATTGCACCTTGCTGATGGATGTGAAATGTAGTGTGGTGCCCTGCCAGAAAGGTACATGTGCCTTTTTTGGGGTGTACTCCAATGCATCTCGTGAATGGATGTGAGTTACGGTGCAGCTTCCTGCCAACAAGTTACATGCATTTTTTTCTTGGGGGGCATGCACAATTCACCTAGTCAATGGATATGAGTTGTGGTGCAGCACCCTGCCAAACAAGTGCATGTACCTTTTTTTGGGGGGGGGGCATACCCCATTGCACCTTGCCGATGGATGTGAGATGTAGTGTGGTGCCCTGACAGAAAGGTACATGTGCCTTTTTTGGGGGTGTACTCCAATGCATCTCGTGAATGGATGTGGGTTACAGTGCAGCTCCCTGCCAACAAGTTGCATGCATTTTTTTCCTGGGGGGCATGCACAATTCACCTTGTCAATGGGTATGAGTTGTGGTGCAGCACCCTGCCGGAAAAGCACCACCTTTTTTTGGGGGGTGCTCTGCTTCATTAGGCAATCAATTCAATTGAATTGGCAGCTCCCTGCCATAAAAGATGATAATTAGGAAGTCCTGAGGAAGTCACGGGGTCACGTGACGCAACGCGTCGACGGCAATACGTGGTGACGCACTTCCGGCGCGGCGCCATCTTGGTACACCCTCAGCCACACGCATACACCCATGCTATGGGAAACAGCTTGTATGTCATTTGGCAAATGTGAGTGTATTATACATTTATTTTCCGGCATTTATTAAACGGTTTTACACTATGGAGGATGTCTTTTGCTTCCTTTATCCCATGGGGGCTTGAGCTGGGGTCCATCCTGCTCAGCTCACCTCGGAGGATACCACGGGAGAGGTGGAAGCTGTATACTGGGGATATACCAACCATCCACTCAAGAGGAAGCATACCTTGACTCAGTGGGGATCTGATAAAGCTCTGTGGCCCTGCAGGGTCGCAGGGAGGAGGTGAGAGGCCACTTCAGCTGATTTCGGATTGCACGTGGTGGTGTGCGGGCCCACATACAGTCCAAGGACTCTGTTTGAGTGCAAATATTGATACAGGATCACTGGACTTTATATTTATATATGTGCACTGTGTGTAGGGGTTGCACATCTGTTTTCCATTTTGTCAGTATCATCACGCACATATATGTATTATGTTCATATAGGATTTTAACATCATGCTGCATGTCCTAAGGCACTGACGCTTTAACTGGGTGTTTTAGCGCTACATCATTTGTATTTTTTCCCTGCCATAAAAGTTCAGTAAATGCACCTTTTTTGGGGATGTACCTCAGTGCACCTTGCCAATGGGATGAGAGTTACAGTGTGGTGCCGAGCCACAAGTACCTTTTTTGGGGGCATACCCAGGGGTGGACTGGCAACTCATGGGGCCCCCGGGCAATAGGAGATCATGGGGCCCCTGTGTCTTCACCCACACTCAAACCAAACCCAAAACAGCCTATGAGAGGTAGCAGGGGCATCTCATGGGGCCCCCTACTGACCCCGGCCCTCGGGCAGCGCCCGATTGCCGCAATGGTCAGTCCGCCCCTGGGCATACCCCAATGCATCATGCTGATGGATGTGAGTTGCAGTTTGGTGCTCTGCCAGAAAGGTACATGTGTCTTTTTTTTGGGTGGGTGGGTGTACCCCAATGCACCTTGCCAATAGATGTGTGTTGTGGTGCAGTGCCTGTCAGAAAGGCACACATGCCTTTCTTGGTGGTGTGCCCCAAGGTACCTTGCATACGTTTGTAAGCTGCGGTGCGTCACCTTGCCAAAAAGGCACCTGCTCCTTTTTTGGGGGGGAGCTCAGCCCATTAGGCAACCCTTTCAATTGAATTGGATGCCTGAATTAACCCAAGTTAACTTGTATCAACACTTATTTGTTAATGCACCACAACATTGCGTATGGACCCCAAATCTCAGGAGCCACTTTGGCTTAGAAATAAAATATCCATTTTCAGTATACCGATCCTGCTGTTAGTTGTAGTTCACCCAGAGCTAATAAGCCCTAGTCTACGTTCAGCTCCATCACTGCCACTTGGAAAAAGCGAATGAGCTAAAACCATCTGAACATTCCTTTGCCATGGGCAACGTCACCTTTCCCTCTCCCTTCTTTCACTGAAAATTCCAATTACTGTCCGTGGTCTGACGTCCTCTATTCCTGATAATTATTTCCCAATGGATTCTTTTAATTTATGAATGTAATTGTGGGAGCTGGGTTAATTTCGTCCTTAATTTGCTTCCTGATTTACATTGGTCCTTGCCATGGGGGCCCACCGCGGTAGAAGGATGCTCTTGTTAAAAGTGATCACTTAATTCCAGGCCGCGGTATAGCCCGTGGGGGGTGAACGTCCATGAATGGCGAGAGCGGATGCTTCGAGTCGCTGGCGTGTAATAAATTTGTGACTCTTAGAGCTCCTAAAATATAGAATTAGATGGAAATGGATGTTCTCCTAGGACGGCACACAATGAAGGTTTTTTTTTCTTCCCCCCCGGCTAATGTAGCTGTGCTTTCTATTATGGACGGGGAAAGGTCACTGACCCTCTTTGGAGACTGAACTGGCTCTTCGGAGGGCCACTTTGGGGGATGAAGGATATACGGAAGGGTGACATATGCAGAACACACTTCCTTAAAGGAGTACTCTACCTAATATTAAAGCAGACCTCCACTCTAAACCTAGTGTTCCTCTTGGAGACTGAACTGGCTCTTCGGAGGGCCACTTTGGGGGATGAAGGATATACGGAAGGGTGACATATGCAGAACACACTTCCTTAAAGGAGTACTCTACCTAATATTAAAGCAGACCTCAACTCTAAACCTAGGGTCCCTCTTTGGAGACTGAACTGGATCTTCGGAGGGCCACTTTGGGGGATGAAGGATTTACGGAAGGGTGACATATGCAGAACACACTTCCTTAAAGGAGTACTCTACCTAATATTTAAGTAGACCTCAACTCTAAACCTAATGTCCTTATTCCATGCCTCCTATACCCTCCTTCTCTTTTAATTGCACATTTTTTCATTTATTTATCTTTTTAAAATATCTATTGTGTTGCAAAGCAATGCTTTTCGTCAATTCGAGAATGATGTTTGGGACTCCCTGTCCCCCTCCTGGATTCTGCATTTCCTAACAGCTTTGTTGCACATCTGCGCATGCGTGGTTTTCCCATACACCCATACATGCCCATGCTTTTTCCCACGCATTTACCAAAAAGGTAGCATGGAAGGTTACATACGTCCCTGTTTTTGTGAATGCATGGGAGCCTTTCCGCATATCTGCACAGGTGCCATAATGGTGGAACCAAAGGGGGGCGGAGCAAACAGAGGAGTGAAGATCCTCTTTAAGAAGAAGAATTGAAGGTGTTAAAGTGTATCTAAGCCCAAAGAAAAAAAAAATTAAGACTGAAGTTAATCCCTTCCTGCCCAGCCCTGCCATCCCTTTAATAGGGTCAAGAAGGATCGGTGATCATATGACCCCTATGATTGGCTGTCAGAGTGGTCACATGATTGAAGCTAGTCTAGCTAGCTACCAATCAATCAGTTAGTGGGGACTGACCCCTTCCTGTCCAGCCCTGACATCCCTTTAGTAGGGTCAAAATAGGATTGGTGATAATGTGACCCGTGATTGGCTGTCAGAGTGGTCACATGATTGGGAGCTGGTCAGGGCCAGCTACCGATCATCAGTGGGGACCAAGAGCTGTCTTTGACAGCTCAGTCTCTGTGCTAGGAGCATGCACTTACCACAGAAACATTGGCCACACAGTGATGCATATCTGTGGCATTTTGGTGTTAAAGCCTTCCCTTTTGCTGCCGCACATATGTGTGATGTGGGGAACAACGGTTTAAAATCTATTTATATTTCGCCTTCCCTGGTCCTTCCCCCCTTATAAAAATGCTAATCAAATTACTCAAAACCTTTTAATTTTCATGACATACTTTATTTTAGACCCAGTGACATCATCACTGGGGCTCTGTGCTTCTCTATGCAGGCAGATCATGGCTGGTGGGAGGGGATGGCCGGGTAATCTACTGAAAACATGACAGCACACTGTCTCAGTACTCTTCTCATAGGCCTTCAGTCCAGGCGTGGACTGACAACTCATGGGGCCCCCAGGCAATAGGGGATCATGGGGCCCCTGTGTCCTTGCCCAAACTCAAAAAAGCCTATGAAAAAGGTACCAGGGGCATCTCATGGGGCCCCTTACTGACCCTGGGGCCCTCGGACGGTGCCAGAGTTTCCAAATGGTCAGTCCGCCCCTGCCTCAGTTCTAACACAAGCATTGAGAAGACTTATGGAAATGGTGGACGTCAGTTATGATGGGTGGACGTTAGTCTGGCGCAGTGGGCCTTCCTAGGCAGGCTGTATCTGCATACAATGATGATGAGCCTCCATGACTGCAAGAACTGAAATCCAATGAATGAAAGGGGCTGGTAGGGATAGTCAGGCTGGGGAGGAATGAGCTAGATGATGTTAAATGTCCTCCAACCAGAAAATAAGGGGGGCACACAGTCCCATATGGAACCCAGGGCACCCCAAAACAACTCCACTTTACATTTTACCTGTTTCCTACTATAGTTAGGATGTTTTTAGGACCTCAGGCTGTTGAACGTATATCCATCAAGCAGCTTTTCAGCAAATTGTCAAGTCAAAGCCATAAACAATAATTATGAGTAATTTTAGGCCTCACGCCGGGACTTCTCGGGATAGGCGCTTTGTGTTTTTCCACGAATACTCCTTGGGTAATTATAATGTACTAATCAGCCCTCAGTGCCTTCCCCATTAGGTAGGACGGTGTGATGTGATGAATAGGTCACTGCGGCAATGTTTGTATAGGGGACTCAGAACGCCATGTGCGTCTCCGGTAGGTTTTACAAGCCGGTCTACGGCTCAGCCAAAACCAACAGTGAGCGAACGCGGCATGAAATCCCACTTAGAGAGGTTGGTGCTGCGTTGGATGTCAGCCCAATTCGGCTCCTGCAGCCTCCTCTACACACACCATCCATCTCCTCCCCCCGCAGCTGCTCTCAAATGGCTCCCAGCAAGTGGCAAATTCCTTAATTGTGTTTATTAGCTGAATTATTAATTGATATAAAAAACAGCATTTTACTGGGCATAAAAAGTCATTGGGAAGAGAGATAAAGCCTTTACGAGGACGGGGGACTCCGAGAGGGTACATTGTACTCAACACTACTACAGGCAGCCTGCCTCTGTACAACAAAAGCATGGCTTCAGGAAGGAAGGAAGGAAGGAACTGAAGGGAAGGAAGGAAGGAAGGAAGGAAGGAAGGAAGGAAGGGAAGGAAGGGAGGGGAGGAAGGGAGGAAGGAAGGAAGGAAGGAAGGAAGGAGGGGGAGGAAGGAAGGAAGGAAAGGAAGGAAGGAAGGAAGGAAGGAAGGAAGGAAGGAAGGAAGGAAGGAGGGAGGGAGGGAGGGAAGGGAGGGAGGGAGGGAGGGAGGAAGGAAGGAAGGATAGATAAAGAGATAGAATTAAGAAACGAAGAATAGAGGGAATGAAAAAGGTAGGAAAGAAGAAATGAAAAATAATAGAGAGAAAGAGAGAGAAGGAGGAAGGACAAACCAGAGCGAGAAATAAGGAATGAAGGGGAGGTAGGAAGGATGGAGAGACAGATAAAAAGGGAGGGAGGGAGGGAGGGAGGCAGGGAAAGGAAGGAAGGAAGGAAGGAGAGAGAGGGGGGGAAGGAAGGAAGGAAGGAAGGAAGAAAGAGAGAGAGGGAAGGAAGGAAGGAAGGAAGGAAGGAAGAGAGAGAGGGAAGGAAGAAGGAAGGAAGGAAGAAAGAGAGAGAGGGAAGGAAGGAAGGAAGGAAGGAAGGAAGAAAGAGAGAGAGGGAAGGAAGGAAGGAAGAAAGAGAGAGAGGGGAAGGAAGGAAGGAAGGAGGGAGAGGGAAGGAAGGAAGGAAGGAAGGAAGAGAGAGAGGGAAGGAAGGAAGGAAGGAAGGAAGGAAGAGAGGGAAGGAAGGAAGAGAGGGAAGGAAGGAAGGAAGGAGAGAGAGAGGGAAGGAAGGAAGAGGAAGGAAGAGAGAGGGAAGGAAGGAAGGAAGGAAGAGAGAGGAGGGAAGGAAGAGAGAGAGAGAGGGAAGGAAGAGAGAGAGGGAAGGAAGGAAGGAGAGAGAGAGAGGGAAGGAAGGAAGGAGGAGAGAGAGGGAAGGAAGGAAGGAAGAGAGGAGAGGGAGGAAGGAAGGAAGGAGAGAGAGAGGGAAGGAAGGAAGGAAGGAAAAGAGAGAGAGGGAAGGAAGGAAGGAAGGAAGGAAGAGGAAGGAGGGAAGGAAGGAAGGAAGGAAGGAAGGAAGGAAGAGATAGAGGGAAGGAAGGAAGGAAGGAAGGAAGGAAGGAAGGAAGGAAGGAAGGAAGGAAGGAAAGGGAAGGGAAGGGAAGGAAGGAAGGATAGATCAAGAGATAGAATTAAGAAAGGAAGAATAGAGGGAATGAAGGAGGTAGGAAAGAAGAGATGAAAAAAGAATAGAGAGAAAGAGAGAGAAGGAAGAAGGATAAACCAGAGCGAGAAATATGGAATGAAGGGGGAGGTAGGAAGGATAGAGAGACAGATAAAAAGGGAGGGAGGGAG